GCTCAAGAAGGAAAGGGCAAACCACTCCAGTATCTTTGCCAAGAAAACTCCAAATAGAGTCACAAAGAATCGGACACGATCAAAAGGACTGAGCAACAATCTGGGAATGTTATCTATGTGACCACAGGCAATTTGCTTAGCTACTTAGTGCCTCAGTGGATTCTCAAAGTTACAGCTAAATTGCCCATCTGGGTTTAAATTGGTGCAGGGAGTTTCCACACCAACCTCATAGAGATTAAGTGATTTGTCCAGGGTCACACAGCTAGCCAAGGTTTAAGTTGAATAAACAGAGATTAAGTGATTTGCCATGGCTAGTAAATGTCTGAGGTCAGATTTAAACTCAGTTGTTCTTGAATCCAGGCCCAGTGCTCTATCCACTGAGCCATTTAGCTGCCTCCTGCCTTGAGCAAAGTAGGTATTTAATCATTGTTTATTAAATGGTGGCATAGTCATCCATACACACACCTATTTCTCCTATTTATGAGCGAGATAAATTCTTAGAAAGGCCTGGGGATGTTTCTGCTCCCCATTCTTGCATTTCTGTATTTTTTAAATGGTTCAAGAGGGCCGAGAGCCAAATAAACCTTCCTCCTGCACAAGCTGGTCACTTCAAGGCTGCAGATGTTTTCTCTGCAGGGGCTTAGGCAGATGGGAGGTAAAGCTGCCCGAGGAGCAGCGACCATTCCTTAACTAAAAAGCAGCTGCCATCTGCATTTTCCTTCTGGGGTCCTCCAAAAGATCATATCAGCTCCATGTAAACAGTGCTTTAAGATTTACAAAACACATTTCAGGATTCATTCTTTTTGTTTGTTTATAAATGGATAGAGCAGGGGTGGGGAACCTGCTGCCTGGGGGCCACATCAAGTGTGGCCCTTTGACAAATTCGGTCAGTGAAGTTTGGATTCAGTCAAAGGGCCACACTTGAGGACCTAGAGGGCCACAGGTGGCCTTGAGGCAGCAGGTTCCTCACCCCTGGGATTGAGAGAGGACCTTGGGGGTAGGCAGCGAGACAACGAGGCAACAAGCATTTATTAATGACTCACTGTGTGCCAGGCACAGTTCTAAGCACTAGAAATACATATATACGCAAGAAGAAAGGCAGTCCCCACCTTCAAGGGGGCTTACAATATTTAAAAAAAATTTTTTTCCCAATTACATGTAAAAAAATTTAATATTCATATTTTTTAATATGAGTTCCAAATTCTCTCCCTCCCTCCCTCCTCTTCCCTTTCATTGAGAAGGCAAGCACTTTGTTGTAGGTTATATATGTAGAGTCATGCAGAACACATTTCCATATTAGTCATATTGTGAAAGAAATCACAGACCCCGCCCAAAAAAAAAAAAACCCCAAGAAAAATAAAAGGGCTTACATTCTAATGAGGAAAGACTACACATAAACGGGAGCCCAAAAGAAGAGAGGGATGACGACCCTCATTGCCCATGGAGATGATGTCCAGAAAGTCTGAAGCACACCTGAGAGGAAAATGAAGGTTGGTTGGGCTGGTCCCCTCTTCAAAATGGAGGCCCAGAGAAGAACTCTCCGGTGGGAGAAGGGGGCCAGCACGGCAGAGGTATGTTCCAAAGTGAGGAGACTATGGGGGTAGCTTGATCCTCCAGGTTGAGGAGGCCCAAAACCCAAGGAAAGTTCCAGGTTGAGACTGTAGCTAATGCATGAGGTTTAAGTTCAGGAAGTCAGAAATATAGCTAGGATGGGAATAGGGGATAAGTGACATAAATATCATCGTTCCCATTTTACAGATGGGAAAACCGAAGCTCACATCTTAGTATCATGTAGAGCTGGAGGGACATTAAAGATGCATATCAGGAGTTCTTTACCCTGGGGTCCATGAACTTGTTTGTTTTCATGTTTCAGTAATGGTGTTACAGTATAATTGTTTTCCTTTGTGATGCTATGTATTTTATTTAATGCATCTGGGCTGGTCGTGGTAGCTTATATTTATAACCTCTGTTACTGAACAGGCTGAAGCTGGTGGATTACTTGAGTTTAGGAGTTTTGAGCTGAAGTGTCACTTAAACTGACTGGATGTTTGAGCTAAGTCTGGCAACAATATGGCACCCCAATGTGGCAGGTCAGAGATAGAGTGGGTCAAATGGAGCACTGTTCCAATCAGTAGTGGGATCTGACTTGTGGGTGACTGCTGCACTTTCTGGCTGACTAAGAGAGGGTGACTAAGTCTTAAAAAACAAAAACCCCAAATTATTCTGAGAAAGGGGTCCATAGCCTTCACTAGACAGTGAAAAGGCACAAAAGAGATGAAAAACCTCTAAACTAGTCTGGTCCCCTCATTTTATAGAAGAGAGGTCTGAGGCACTGACATGTAAAGTCCCTTGTTTTTGGCTCCCCAGCTAATTTGTGGCACAGCTGGGACGGCAACCCAGATTTCCTAACTTTCAGGCCCAGCGGGGCTCCCATGTTGACTCTCAAGCTCTTCAGTGACTTTGCTTTTACAAGCAATTGCCTTCCACACTTATAAATTTAATTTTTCCTAATCTCAGGCATGGCACAGTAGAAACATTTAGTAAAAAAAATTAATAGCCTCCTTTATTACTTGTATACCTGATAACGTTCTAAATTGCTCCAAAATCTTAAAGATCCCCAAGGTCAGGGCAACATTTTTTATGAAGCTATGCATTAAAAACTTGAAAGAAGCCGACAGTCCCTGGTTTTTTGAGTGTCAGACGAGGAAAATTCCTCTAGATTGCTTTATATCCTTGGGAGGTCAGGCTACCACAGTAGGGATTGCCCTGAGCTCCTCAGGCCTGAGCAGGGAAGGGAAAAGGATTCTAGAGCCAGATAGGGAGAAAGGAGGAGGATGAAGCTTCTTAGGGGGGATTCTCTGCTCTCATTCTTTGCAATAAAAAACAACATGAGGTGTGTGGAGGGGCCATAAACAGGAGGGTCTGAGGGGAAATTTATGCAAACCAGACCAAGGAAAGGAAGTTATGAAATAGGAACAGAAATCCAGGGCCAGAAGGGACCTCAGAGGTCCCCTGGCCCAAGTCCCTCTTTACAGCTGAGAAAAGTCTGCGTGATACAGTAGAAGAAAGTGTTGGTTCTGGGCCGGTTCAAATTCTGCCTCAGATACTCGCTGCCTGTGTGGTTGCACATGATATTTCATTTCCCTGGGTCTCGGTTTCCTCATTCATAAAAGGAGGAAGTTAGATTTGGTGGACTCTGAGTACCTGAACCTCTAGAGTTACAGTCCTATGAAGCTGCCCCGGAGAGAGTAAATGAACTGCCCCTCCCCCCCACCAAGGTCATATGGGACCATTTCTGTGTGACCTTGGGACCAAATTGGTGCTGCTTTGTGCCCCTCAGCATTGTGACTCTTTGAACAATCCCATTTTGAACTCAGTGGGGATGAGGTCCTTCCAGGTAAGCAGGGTTGGAAGCCCACTTGGCACTTAAATGAATGAATGAATGAATAAATAAAAAAGCACTTATTAAGCACATATGTGTAAAGTGTCAGAGCAAGATTTGAATCTGTATCATCTGACTTTCAAACTGTCTTTCTGTGACACTGCCTGTCTCTCCGTATGGTGGGCAGGGCCATTTTGAGACCCAATACGCAAATGCTCATGCCAATACAGACATCTAGAAGCGGGTGAGCAGTCAGTACCCACTGTAGGATGAATGTTATAAGGTTGTCCCAAAGGGTCCTCACCCTTTAATATGGTGATTGCCTGCTGGAGCTTGGGGTGGGGGACAGGTCAGAGAGGAAGGGTAGTTTTTCCAGGTTACTTTCTAGTGAGGTTATACCATGGTTTCAATCATTTGATAAGGCCAGCGTTAGACCTTCTTTTCTAAATACTGATTAAAAAAAAAAGGCATTCTAAATTCTACCACGTATCTGGGGATTTTTAAATATTTCACTGATGCTCTTTTCCTTTTCCTCATCTTCCTCCTCCTCCTGCATCTCTTCTATGTCACTACCCTTAATACGATCTCCCCCCCATCCCCCAAAAAGCACTTGTAACAAATAGGGACCGGGATCTGTGATATGGTGCAGCAAGGTGGTACAGTGGATGGAGCACCAGGCTTGGAATCAGGAATCATCTTCCTGAGTTCAAATCTGGCCTCAGAGACTTACTAGTGGTGTGACCCTGGACAAACCACTTAACCCTGTTTGCCTCAGTTCCTCATTTGTAAAATGATCTGCAGAAGTATCTTTGCCAAGAAAACCTCAAAATGAGGTTACCAAGAGTTGTGATTTTTTTTTAGGGTAATACCTTGATAAGGAAACTCCCTATACCAATAAAGGTCCACACCTTCACACCCACAGTATTCATCAGAGGAAAGAGTCAACTCAGGTTGTCCAGACTTCACGGGTTGGTTTGCAAAGAAGTTCAGGCAGTTCTGCTCTAAGTCAACATAAGTCTTCCCCCCAAGCACCAAGTTATGTGAAAAAGAGCAATAAAAATCACAGGGCTTATGGGAAAAATGGGATGGGGCATAATCATGATACTCAACAACTTCATCAGTGACAAAAAATAGGAAGCTAATAAAAAATGGTAGCAAGGTTTCAATGTTAAATAGTTAAGAAATACATAAATACTACAATAAATACAGGCCACATCTACTGCCTGGCTTTCTATCAGGTTTCATGAACAAGTTGGGTGGAGGCCTTGATGAAGAGCCTGGGATACGGGTGCTTTGGCTCAGCCCTTCTCCTCTCACAGCTCCCATTGTCCTTCTGAATTCCTGATTACTCGTTGGTCTTTAGAGTACTCAAATAGTTGGTTTTTGTTTGTTTGTTTGTTTGTTTTTATTTGCAATCCAGGTTAAGTAACTTGCCCGAGGTCACACAGTTAGTTAAGTGTCAAGTGTCTGAGGTCGGATTTGAACTCAGGTCCTCTTGACTCCAAAGCCTGTGCTCTATCCATTTCCTTACTAGCTGCCCCTGAATATTCAAATCTTAACAGCTCTTTTCCTCTAGTCTTTGTGATCATTGAGTAAATTATTCTCCTGATTCTCCTAGGGAGAAGTTGTGGAATACTTGGATGAACTCCTGGAGGAGGAAGGCAGTTAATTGGAACAAACCAAAGGAATTCCAGAGCAACGTGGACAATTCCCCAAGAAGCCCAAGGCCCACAGTGGTTCTTCCTTTTACTCCCTTTGCTCAGGTTCATGATACCTCAAAGCCTCCCTTTGTGCTGTGACATAGAGGGAGAGCACCAGTTTTGACCTCTCAGTACTCACTATAAGCAGGGAGGCCAACCCTTCCTCCTTGTACCTTCTCTCCATCAGCCCTGGCCACCTGTCTGGCTGAAGAGTGGTCCTCAATTTGGTCTCCTTGCTCAGCTTTCTCCAAAGGTATAATCTTCTTAATGAAAATAGCCGCCCTTACCCAAAAGAGAGACAATCATGAGAACTTTCTGCTGCTGTTGAATTTGTTTGTTTTAGTTTTCAAGTCCTTCATCGATTCCTGAATCAGAAACTGTTTTTTCACAAAACTCTTGGAGAGGTTGTGGAGTGGGTGAATGGAGAGGGGGTGAGGTGGAGAAGGAAGACTCTTGAGTCTCACCATTTTGTGCCTTGACACCAACGTCAATAAAAACCAACCTAAAGGTCTTTAGATAAGGGAAGTGGACATTGTGGATTTCCATATGTGTTTCCTAAGGTTTATTGAAAGGTTTTTATGATGGTAACTTGTGTCCTTGTGAGGAGATAACCCTAAGTTAAGATAGAACAGGAGTGTTAAACCCTAGGAACACTAACTGTGTTATTTTTTTTTCTTTTTCTTTTTTTAATCTTTATTTCCCTCTCCTCTTTCTTTCTAATTTCAAGAAGCAGTTCCTAGTCTAGCCAGCAGAGCCCCATGGGGATGGAAGCTAAAAAATGGGTCAAAGAATCAATGGGAGAAAGTTCCTCTGGTGGGGATGTAGAAAACAACACAGAGACTTGTGCCCTGTGCAACAGGATGGGTCCTTGTACTCTACAGTGAGAGGAGACATGACATAGAGGGTAGTGAGACAGCTTTGAAGCCTGAAGACCTGTGTTCAAAACCTGCCTCCCAACACTGACTGGCTAGCTGACCCTAAGCTAATCATTTAACTGCTTAGTGTCCCAGGAAACTCTCAGAGACTATAAATTGCAAAGAATGGAAGGAAAATAAGTATTTGTTAAGCATCTGTTACGTCCCAGATGTTATGCTAAGCACTTTACCGATATTATCTTATTTGATCCTCTCAACAACCCTGTGACTTGGTGCTATTATTTCAATCATCTCTATTTTACAGTTTAGGAAACTGAGGCGGACAAAGATGAAGTGACTTGCCTAGGGTCACAAAGCTAGTCTGAGGCCAAATTGGAACTCGAGTCTTCATAACTCTAAGCCTAGTACTCTATCCACTGTGCCTCATAGATGTCATAAGAAGATACCAACCTGTACCAGTAGAGAGTTTCTTCACTTGAGACATCCCTGTATCAGTGAAATCACTGGTTGTATGTTGTATGATAAATAGTAACTTCAGATAGAAAAAGTTCAATATGAACTCTTTTCTCTAATGAAGCAACTCTTGGTTAATCACTTTCCTTGTGAAAAGAGGTGCAGTCCCACTAATTCAGAGGATTTGGAGTCAGATGTGCCCTTGGAAATTATTCAGTCCCATTTATTTATTTTACTTAATTTTACTTTTACTCTGCCATCTTGGCTCCACCCCCCGCATTTTATTTTTATTGGTAGCTTTTTTTGTCACCCTCATTTTTGAATGAAATCTTCTCCACTTCCCTACCCATTGAGTTGTCCCTTTGTAACAAAATCCAAAAGACAGGAAAGAAATATCTGTCCCTCAATACCAGACAACCTATGAACCATGCCACACTCTAGGAGTCCATCTCTGCAAAGGAAAGGGGGAGTTTTTTCTTAACTCTTCTCTAGGGCCAAGCTTGCTCATTATAATTACATAGAATTGTTTTATTTTCTTCATGTTTAAATTGTTGTTGTCATTTTCCTGGTTCTGGTACCTTCCCTCTGTATCAGTTTATGTATCTTTCTATGCTCCACTGAATTCATCATATTTGTCATTTCTTTCAAAAATATACCATAATTTGTTTAGTCATTCCCCAATCAATGAGCGCCATTGCCTTATTTTAAAGAGGAGAAAAATTAAGTCCAGAGAGGTTGTGACTTGCCAGTGGGTCACATAATAAATAAGTAGCAGAGCTGTGATTTCTACCCAGGTCTTCTGAACTCTTTCCACCATACCATACTTCCCTGGCTGTATTAGCCATGTAGAGGTGAGCTGCAAAATAAGGTTTTTCTGGACCCCAGAATTGCTAAATTCTTTTGACTACTTTGAAGAGTCAACATTCTTTCCTAAGTACATTAAATAGGTCTTTGAGCTAAAGATAATCTCAGGCTTAAGACAGGCTTGCCATTGAAATTATTTTAAAATCATAGAATCTCAGAGTTTGGAGAGATCTCAGAGGCCTGAGCAGTATCCCCATCCCAAACCCTCTTCTACATACTTACCTAATCCCCCCCCCCAAAAGAAAGAAACCCGTTCCAAACTACTGAGTTAGGATTGACCATAGAGATGGTGAATGAGCACCCTTAAGTGATACTATATGTACAATTCGTTCTTAATTTTTTGTTTAGTGAAATTAGATTGGATCTAGCTTTGCAGATATGCTCATATTCCTTTATTGGCTTTATTTATTTTTACTTTCTTTGAAGTCAGTAAGTCCTCTCCATGACACTTTAGGTTGGAGAATGGATTGGGAAAACCTTCTGCAGGTTATTGAATTTTTGATGTTCCGTAAGACTGAATTAAAAGTCTACCATGAACTGACCCAGATTCCTAAAAAGAGTTTAAAGCTTTGAGCATCTTCTTTTCCCAGAAGTTCCCCTAGATGAAAGGAAATGGGCCAGTGAGGATTGTTTGGCCAGACACTTGGCTAGGAAGCTCCCAGGAAAACCGATGGGGGTTCAGTTTGTAGAGGGGAGCTCTGTGGCCTGGTGAATTAACACTTTTATTGCTGGCATTGTTAATAAAGCATATTTTTCACATCAACTCAGCCCCCTGATAGGCAATCAAGCCTGATGCTGAATAAGGAAAATATGATTTCCCACTGGGGGAGATGGCAGCTCCCCAGAGAAGGGCAGATCCCCTTTTTTTTCCTCTATACTCACTGCTGGGACTCTTCCTCGGCCCAAGCAATTTGCTTTTTGAACTCCGTGGGGAAGAGGCCCTCAGGGCAGGGAGGGAAAGAGGACTGCGGCCTAGGAAGCAGCCCTGCCTATTCATGAAAACTGTTTAGAGAATTCATCTGGGAAATATTTAGCCTTCTATCTAAGGCAGAGTTAAGGTATTCCTTTCCACAGTTAGCTGCTTCTGGTAACTTCGGCTTAATTCTGTTTACTTTGTATGCCTATCTGGTATGTTAGAATGTAAGCTCCTTGAGGGCAGGGACTGTTTCTACTTTTTTCTTTGTATCCTCAGGACTTAGCACAGGACCTGGGGCATAGCAAATGTTTAATAAATTCTTGATTTATTGACCAAAACAAACAAAATAACAATGAGAAGATTATCATCCGTAGCCTACCCTCTTCTCTTCACTAACCAAGTCACCAAACAAATGGTTTTGTTGCATGTAACTGCCAACAGACTGCCAAATGGCCCAAAGACTGGGCCAGCAGTTATTCATTTTGCACCTTGAATATTTCTTCCTTGCTGTTGGGCATAGTATTTTGAGTTTTCTCCATGAACGTGTGCCACACAGAAATTCTATTTTTTTTTCTCCACCTGTGGGCTCCTGATTAGTTTTACTCTTTTTTTTTTTTTTTTTTGGTTAAAATATGGTACTAGGGGCAGCTAGGTGGCTCAGTGGATAGAACACTGTCCCTGGAGTCAGGAGGACCTGAGTTCAAATCCGGCCTCAGACATTTGATACTTACTAGCTGTGTGACCCTGGACAAGTCACTTAATCCTGATTGGCTCACTCCCCCAAAAAAAGAAAGAAAAAAGAAAAATATGGTACTGCACAGCAGAGATGTCCACACTCCCAAGTCTGACATGAACCAAATGAATATGTAATTGGGAAATAGTTAACAAGATAAATAAAAGTATAATAGAACATAAATAACACCAATATGTGGTTTTCTACAGCAATATGCTATCCTGGGGGATCTTTGTGTAGTTTGTAGGCCCCATTTCTGTGAGGCCCTGCTCTACAGATCTTCTGGTTCCTAGGGCCATTTTCTGAAGTCTCCTCTTTGTCTTTGCATTTCAAAAAGGCGACCTACTGCTAGGCCCTTGGGATGCTGGTTTCTTCTCCTTTACTCTGTCTACTCTGATGCCTGTGTATACCTTGTCTCCCCCTGTAGAATATATGCTTCTCAAGGGCAAGCACTGTGTCTGCTTCTTCTTTGTATCCTCATGCTTGCTTGATCACTCGATTTATTGACCAAAGAACCTACCAACCAACAAATGAGAAGGGGCAAAAGAGAGACTTTCTTTGGGTCAGTGACAAGAATGCTGGATTTGGCACCAGAGAACCTGGGTTGAAATCCTGTCTCTGACATTTAATACCTGCATGACTTTGGGCAAGGCATTTAACCTGTCAGTTTCTCTGTTTTCTCATCTGTAAAATGGGGGCATTGGACTAGCTAGATGATTTGAGGCTAGCTAGATGATTTCTGAGGTCATTTCTTGCCCCAAATCCAATGATTCCTAAAAAGTATAATCTCCATTGAGACCTCCCAAAGTGAACGTTTGGTTTGCCATGTACATTCACCCTGAGAAGAGTTCTCCCAGTTCCTTTCCCATTTACAATGATTGCCGTGGATTGGGAGAGCCATGGATGCTACTGATGCATTTCTGGAATGTAACCTTACTTTGGTTAATGATTCCCCATTCCTTTAAAAAACATTGTTGTTAGTTATGTTGTCACCACATCACAGACTGGGACACTAGGTGGCACCATAGTGCATAGTGTGGAGCCTGGAGTCAGGAAGACTCATCTTCCTGAGTTCAAATCTGGCCTCAGACAGTTACTAGCTGTGTGACCCTGGGCAAGTCACTTCACCCTGTTTGCCTCAGTTTCCTCATCTATAAAATGAGCTGGAGAAGGAAATGGCAACCCACTCTAGTATCTTTGTCAAGAAAAGCCCAAGTGGAGTCATGAAGAGTCAGACACAATTGAAAAGGGCTAAACACATCACAGATGTCACATCACACAAGTGATGCTACTTACTGCTTTCATGCATCTCGTTATCTTCCTGGGCCTTTGCCTTTGGTATGGACCATAGCTGTGTTTACGTAGAGTTTTTTCTTTTTTTTTTTTTGGTGAGGGCAATTGGGGTTAAGTTTTGTGTCTAAGGCCAGATTTGAACTCAGGTCCTCCTGACTCCATGTCCGGTGCTCTGTCCACTGTGCCACCTAGCTGCCCCTACTTAGAGTCTTGTATTGGTCCTCCTTGGTATGCTACCAGTTAAATACTTGGATTTAGCAACCAGGTGGTTCAGTGGGTAGAGTGTTGGACTTGGAATCAGGAAGACCAGAGTTTGAATCTTGCTTTAGACAATTACTAGCTGTATGATGACCCTGGGCAAGTCATTTAATCTCTGTCAGCCTCAG